TATGTATGTATTCGTGTAATGTGTATATAGGAGGGTATGATGGAGTGATTTGGGATGCACGTTGATGTATAAATTAATCAGTGAGTCAGAACAACCAAAACTGGAAATTATTAATACCAACGGCCAAGTACGAATTATATGGATATACATGTTTATTTTAAATCCAATCAGTAAGCCGATGTAAAAATACATTATAAGAATTACAATATTTTCAAAAAAAAAAATAATTACGATATATATCATTAGTAATACCTATGGTGTATCATTTCTATGTGACATATGCCACAATGTGCAAGCAACTAATATACGACCCATGCCCATCTCTAGTATGTGCATTCTTATGTATGTATGTATATGCACATGTACACATTCAATAAATTACATGTTTATTTAAAACTGCGGTTTTGCGTTTAATACTTGCATAAATATTTTTGCTTACATTAAATTCAGATCCAATTCAAATGTTGAACACTGATATAATAGACACGCATTAGCATGTATCAGACATGTGAACCTCTGTACGTACATATGTATATACCATGTGTATGTACCTTACAAGGGCTGATATCTGGTTATATGTATTTATATATGTACAAACATATGTGTATATGTAGTTATACACATATATGTATGTATGTATACATTCATATTCATTAATACAATGATACTTTTCAACGTGATGTCAACGCATTGCTCGAAACGTGAGACTCTAAGCATTGTTGAGCACACGCATTGCTGCTTTGAGTCTCTTTCATCATCAGTAGGCGTTTTTTTTTGATTGAGTGAAAATAAGCGAGCGAATATTTACGAGTCACCTGAGTACAACTCACCTGCGCAACAGCGTTGCAGCAGAACAAAAGAAATAAACAAAACAAGCTAAAACGCAAGTCAATTGCATTATGAACATTTGTTGTTATTGTTGCTGAGCCAGGCAAACATATGATGTTGAAAAACTAGTAACAACAAATACATAATAAATATAAACAGCATGAGAGAGTGAGCGAGGAAACAGCCATTGCATTTTTATGTGTGGCTGTGTGTGTACGGTACGTATGCGTGTGTTGTGGGACAACGAAAAGAGGCCACGGCCTGCGCTCTGCTGTTGCTGAGGTCGCTGCTGCTGCCTCTGTCGCCGCTACGGAAACTGAAACTGCACTCTGCCTGCGATGAGATGCGATGCACTCGCGCTCCCAGCAAATTAGGCCAAAATGCAGTTGCACTGGAAAAAACGTTTTAAAGAAACTCGCACTTAATCTAAACATTGTTTTTTTTTTTTTTGTATAAATAACACATATTAGTTTAACATTCTCACGGTTTCTCCAACTAAAATGTTTAAAAAAAACTGTCAAATTTATGTTACTTATATTGAAGAGTTGATTCAAAAATCGACTTTGAATTTAAATCGATATCAAAGCATAGTTTTTAAAAACTTCATGTTTGTAATTCCGTATTGTTTTTAATTTGGTGTTCCCGTCTCAGAATTAAATTTCAATGATTTTACTTAACTTTTACTAAATTGATTTCCATCGTTTTCACTGCTATTGACTAATAATTTGTGAATGAGAGCGCAAAATGTGGTTATCGATAACATTATCGAAATTCTAAAAGCAAACAGCTGGCAGTATGGAATGCAAGACTACACTCTCTCGTACATCCAACTGCAGATGTATACAATTCTCGGAATCTATGCCAATGGAGAGCTCCTCGTTAGGTAATTGCAGGGCACTGAAAAAGGACGAGGCTTTCCGGCAATCCACCGAGCACGAAGCATCCGGTGCCACTTGTTGCTCATCGTTGTCAGTTGGATCACGGTTGACAAGGCGACGCAATAACAAATGACGAAAGGCTGTGGTTATGGTCACCATTTCCGATTCGGCCACTAGATTCAGCTCTCCACCGGCATTGGCATGAAAAATCATTGTGGGAGACATGTTCTTCAATGAATCAATAACATTGCGCATCATTCGCAACGAGGGCATGCTAAGCACCAGCTGAGAGGTCGGCACTTTTGGAATTTTATATGCAGGCCAGTCACTAGCTGCTACCACATTAACGGGTACATCGTGCACCACTTCACGGGGCTCGGCGGACTGTTGAGAAACTACCGAGGCAATCACCGAGAAGCAGGGAAACTGTATGCGCTGCAGCTTAAGTTTACAGGAATTGACAGTGGCACCGGTGCGTAGGGCGGCCAGGGCACGACTAAGATGGGCGGCCGACATGGCCAGCACAATATAGGGATGATCTTCACGGGCCGGTACCATTTTGTATTCAGGAAAATAATCGGCAGCTGCAATGGAGGCCCAAACAAGTGGTGCCGTTGTTGAGTTGTGCTCCTCGTTGACAATGAAGTGCATTTGCTGATCGGCCAGAATCATGATGCATTCCTTGGCCAATTTGGCAAGTGTGGCAATTATACTTTGGAACTCGCGCATATAAAGCGCATCCTGCATGCGAGCGCGAAAACGCATGGTAACGTCTGAGATCCCATAAGTGGGTGTACAGAGAATAAAAAAGAACAGAAAAATAAAACGAAAATCAAACGCAGCCCAACCAAGTGCTCCAACAATACCACTAAATTGATATTAATTTGATATTACCGATATTTTGTAATAATGCCTTTTTCTATACTATAACCCATTCTGGGTTAAATTTTTGACTCTAAGCATCTATCTGGGATATTATATTAGTTACATTTTATTTTAAAACATTTCCCTAAATTAATCGATATTTCGTAATATTTACATACTCAATTAACCCATTTTGAGTGGCACATTCATTTATTTTTTGTTAGCAAATAATAAACCAAAGTCGCCAACAACTGAACTTTTCTAAAAGAAGATATACAGACACGGGGCTAAGAATAAAAACAGGCCTTGAAGAACAACGATGACTCCGATGGAGGAGCAAGACAGGAAGAGGTGACGCGGGTACCCTTGGCGCTGCCCCGGCAACGACAACGTCGAGACATGACCAAGAGTTCAATGTACACAGGCGTACAAACACAGATAGAAGTAGAGAGCACACAGGCAGGCAGAGACAGACAAAGCGCAGAGCAAGTTCCGAGTTGTGTTTTGGATGGGGCGAAGAAGCGTGTAAAGAGCAAAGCAAACAAAACTCACCATTACTCACACACACAATCAAGAACTCCCATGCATACAAAAGTCAAACAGGGCGCAGACACAACAGGATTTAATTTTCTTTTTTTTCTGCTGCACTGGGTTGTTGCGGCCAAAAGGACGGCAGGAAGCTACCGACGGCTGATATTGGCATACAGCCACGGAAATCAAATTATGTGCAGGCAGTCCGTAGGCGTCATCAAGCGTTCGCTTAATATAAATGTATTAGTTAGTGGAGCATAATTTACCGTATATGTATGTGAGCGATCTTAAGGTTGGGGGTATCGGGGTCAAAATATGTTCCTTGCAGTTCAATCAACTTTCAAGGTTGAGTTATTTGCCTGTACGTGTGTTGGTGTTGCCATACATTCTAGATATTTATTTTTTATGTTTTCTTTCCTGCTGTAGGGCTGCATTTAATTAGCGGTCAGCCAGTGCTACCCAATCACAATAATACTGACATTCTACTTCTTCCATTTCAAATTCGTACTTAAATTGTTCATGACGTCACACTAGCTTAAGCTCATTTCGCAAGTGTATGTAAAAATATTAAAACAGACATACATACAATGTACAATAATATGAGCATGTATATAATGATTATCTATGTATAGATAAATCTGTGTATTTGTAGAACATTGGGTGCCCGTAGCATTATTTGCAAAAATTCAACTGCTTTGAGAAGCAGACTTAATTCAATGCAATCTGACCATAATAGCACACACACACACTCACACGTGCAACAGCATACAATGCAAAACCATATAAAAAGCTGACAAGAACCAAAATTAAATACAAATAAAATCTGCTGTGTGCTTAAAATTCAACGTGACTGACGGACTGAGTTACTGGTGCTTTGAGGAGGGTGGGAGACGCAGACACCCGCAACCGCAGACGGCGGTGACGAAAATGGAGTTTGCAGCAAATGTATGTATGTATATACCGACATATGTTTGTATGTATATAAAAGAGAAAGTAAAATCTTAACTAGATGCGCTGAATTTGATATCAGGGCGAAAAAGCTGAAGCTGCTGTCTGCATATAGAAACATCAATTCAAAATAGAATAAAATCTATATACCAATACACACGCATACTTGCATGCAAAGTTCACATATGCATACATACATATATATGCATATGATGTATCTATGTATGTGTGTGCACCCTACACAAACTGCGCAGTGCTGATCAGTGTTGCCAGCCAAAACGACAACGAACGCGACAACTATTATATACATATGTAGGTTGGCCATATCTCAACTTCAACTTTGCTATCACAAAAATGAATAGAAATTATATTATACAACGGCAACAGATAGGCCACAATAGAATAGGTACACATATGTGAGTATATGTGCATATAATTTCCTCTGCCAACTTGCCTTGTACATTTTTACCCATTCCCCAAGTTGGGCCATCAAGAAAAGCCATTGTAAAAATCAATATCAAAATATTACACACAGTTCTCGATGCACACATGTATACCGCAAAGCAGGCGAACTTCTTGAACCGCATGCACACATATAGTGTTAGGTGCATGTTTTTAAATATTTCAATAAAGCACTCACTATATTTCCGAAAGGAAACCACAATAAAACGAGCAAATTAAGAAAAAAATACGAACGGTCGACATTTTGTTTTCTGTCTGTGTAGTAAAAAGTAACTCGCTGCTTATTCGACGAAATATGCTCGTGCATTTGTGTGCGCGATTGTCGATGGTTGTGCCTGTGTGTGTGTGTGTATGTCTCGTTTGAGTGGCCAGCGGAGCACCCAGTCACAAAATTGTGCAAAAATGTCGCAAGAGGCACACTAAACGCATTGTAGACTTAATTTACATAACGCATTTTACGCATACAGCATGCAAAAACAATACACTTACCTATTTATTAATTGTTTCTGATATTTTCAATGTGTTTTTGCGTTTTTTCAAGTAGTCTTTACACGTAACAAACTCCGACACCTCTGTCGACAGCACGCACACAAAAAGAACTAGACAATTGTGGAGAGCGAGCCACAAAATGAATCAAATGCGCTGCCGTATATTTCAAAATTATATGTGAGCCTCTTCGTTGAACATTTGATTGTGTCAAAAGTTCCGATGTGGCAACTCTCAGCTAGGCCTGCTAGATTTGCGCTTAAATAGCAACGATGAAGCACAGTTTAATGTTGTGTATTTTATTTTTTTTTTTTAATTTTAATGTTTATTATATAAAGTTTTTTGTACCTGGACCTTTTAAATCTTTTCAATATTATTATCGCATATGATCCGTACATACCCTTATTTTACAACGTCTCGGAGCTATAGAATATACATATTCGTGAATATGCGAGATTTCCAATTGGAGCAATTTTAAAAATGATATTAAATAGAAACATACGTACAAATATGCATATAAGTAATAGATTCTGTTGCGAATTTGCGATATTTTAATTATTTTTATTTAAATTTACCAATTTCAGTAAATTCCAAACCAGGGACACATTTGTCTCATCACTAATTTAGACCCAAATGAAATGAAACCTTGTGTTCCTGAAGAAATAGCAAATTATATAAAATGCATGTAAAGTATTGTTATCAAATCAAATACAAATATTTAAGCCTCTTTTAATAATTAAATGATAATACACAAAAACTTGATAAATGTTCCATCGGTCCAAAATAGTGGCTATTACAGCGCCGCTACTTTGACGCGTTTGTTTTGTTTTCAAAAAACATTTATTATGTATTACATTGTTTATGTATTAATATTGCAGTGACCATTAAAAACGTTACTGCAGAATTAAAGTATTAAGAGTATTAATAGTTATGGCTGAGCTTTAATTAAATTGAACAAATTTCCGTCTACGCAGAAAAGAAGGGACACACGCACACAACCAAATGCACACGTAGGGGGAGGAGGCGAGAGCAAAAGCAAATGCGAACAAAAATACAATCCCAATTCCAACTGGCGGCTTATCAGCAGCAGCAGCAGAAAGAACAAAAGTGGAGACCAATAACACACTAATTAAACAAAACTAGCAAAGCCATTATTACTCACAAGTTGGCTGGCGGAAAAAGCGAACGCGAACCCAGAAACGGCGAAACACTTATTCTGACGTGTCAGTCACAAGTTTTGGTTTGTTAGCATTGTAGGCATAATGTGTGGCTCTACGAACACGGCTACCGGCACGGGTACGCGTGCGCTCATCCTGGTCGGTGGCTATGGAACACGACTGCGACCTCTGACCCTGAGCACGCCCAAACCATTGGTAGAGTTTGCCAACAAACCCATTTTACTGCATCAGCTGGAGGCACTCGTCGATGCGGGCTGTCGTCAGGTATGTATAGTCTAACAATAAATATCTATGTTTACTATCTCAGTTATATAGACGACTATAATGCACGCTACCGTTATAGGTGATATTGGCCGTCAGTTATCGTGCCGAGCAAATGGAGCAGGAGCTGAAAGTGGAGGCCGAAAAACTGGGCGTTGAACTGATTTTTTCACATGAAACCGTACCCCTCGGCACAGCCGGTCCACTGGCACTCGCCAAGCCCATCTTAACGGCCAGTTCGGAACCGTTCTTTGTGCTGAACTCAGATGTGATCTGTGATTTTCCATTTAAGCAATTAGTTCAATTTCATCGCAATCATGGCAAAGAGGGTACAATTGTGGTCACAAAAGTTGAGGAACCATCCAAATATGGTGTCCTGCTCTACGATGAGGTCGGCTGCATTAAAAATTTCATTGAGAAGCCCCAGGAGTTTGTGAGCAATAAAATCAATGCCGGCATTTATATATTCAATCCATCGGTGCTGGAACGGATCGAGGTGAAGCCCACCTCTATCGAGAAGGAGGTTTTCCCAGCCATGGCAGAGCAAAAGGAACTCTATGCCATGGAGTTAAGTGGCTTCTGGATGGACATCGGGCAGCCAAAAGATTTCCTAACTGGTATGTGCGACCTACACATCGCTGACTCATTTACACACTTATCTATAATTGTCATTATGGTGCGAGCCAGAGAACACCTTGCCGTAGTGTTATCTCTACCGTAGCTGGGGAACACGACGTGGCTTTAATCAATTAACCTGTTTTTAAAAACCTCATTATCTAAATTTGTGGAAATCAAACAACGTTTTGCACGTAAACCCCCCCCGCTGTGTTAGCTAGCAACGAATTTTTTGAATCAAAGTGTTTTGGGAAATAACTCTCAGGTTAGATAGTGGTACGTTCCACTCGAGATATGATGCAGACAATAATAATAGACATCTGCGACCAAAAGAGATGGAGTTGTCTGCCCACAATAAGAGTTTTCCCAACAACATATTTAATAATATTTATTGAAGATAGCAGTTGACACAAGCACAGCCTTAGCCCATCTCGTTTATGTACAAAATATTTAAACCTGCATTGTTTGCAACAGATTCCAATTAATTACTGTTCTTTATATTTTAGGCATGTGCCTATACCTCACCTCGCTGCGTCAAAAGCAATCGGCCAAGCTTTATACTGGTCCCGGCGTTGTGGGCAATGTGCTTGTGGATCCAACGGCCAAAATTGGCGAGGGTTGTCGTATTGGACCGAATGTAACCATCGGCCCCGATGTCATCATCGAGGATGGCGTTTGCATCAAACGCTCAACGATACTGAAGGGCTCAATAGTGAGGTCGCATTCGTGGCTGGACTCCTGCATTGTGGGCTGGCGTTCAACGGTCGGGCGTTGGGTGCGCATGGAGGGCATCACAGTGCTTGGCGAGGATGTCATTGTCAAGGACGAGCTGTATATTAATGGCGGGCAGGTGTTGCCGAACAAAAATATTGCGGCCAGTGTGCCAGAGCCTCAAATTATTATGTGAGATGCCATGACTAGCCAGCTTCTAATTCTGAATAGTGTATATGTATATATATAAATTATAGTCTTGAGTCCCATAATGGCCTTCGATTTAGTGTTTAAGCTCTGCAATATTTCTACATTTCCATTATATTTGATAACATTGATAAAATGTCTATATTTATAATTTGAACTATTTCAATTTGTATTGATTGGCGCGGCCAAGGAATTTGGACAAGCTATTACTATATGTTTTATACACTGCATTAAAATTGTAAGTAAATGCGAACGCACCTCGTGTTTTAAAAACTAGTCTAAGATTCACGCCCCCGGCTCAGATCAAATCACGATCAAATTGGACAGACTTGAAAGTTGCGGGTTGAGTCTAACGGCCAAACGGTTCGATCTGTATACAGGAACTAGTAGAGCCAGTTCTTTGAAAGATTTGTGGAATCTATCATAAATGGATCATAATATTATGTTAGGCTGTTAGTAGAACTTACTTGTGAATGATTCTAAAATATGATTGAGTCGGAGCAAACAAATTTAGAATATTTAGAGGTTAAAAAAAAAACGATGAATTTTAAATACATTTTAAAACAAAATAACGTTTGTGTGCCTTTTGAAGATGTTATGAACCCATAATGATCACAGTTCTTCCTTTGTCGCTGAAATGAAAGAGTTTTAGGATGGAGGCTCAATCTGTCTATACAACTCACATTTTACGAATCTTTAATCAGGTCTGAGGGCCACTATTCCGTCGCCTTTTGGGCACACAAACTTTTTAGGGAACTTAAAAATCTGTAGATAACGATCATGATCACAAAATAACTAACTTATTATAAATTACCGTATAAGAACATTAACGAAACAAATAAGATCTTCCTTACAAGAATCCCTCATATGGGCCCAATAGAACGATATTTGGATCATTCTGGGTCATAGAACGGGTTACTGGTCTATTTATATCGAGGGCGCTGACATAATTATTATAAAACGGCACCCTCTGTGGCTGATATTTCTTGGCAATGTTTTCAACCAAGTATATCAGAGCCCTTTCATCAAGATGAGGAGAATTCCTATGGTTGGCCGCTTTGAATGCGTTCTTTGGTTTCTGAATGCCACCCTGCTTTCCATTCTTAACTTTTATGTTCGGGGCCATCTTGTAAGTTTAAATTTTATAATATTCAAGAGTTTCTGTTTTGTTAAATTGTTTGTCTTATAAAGAACGGCCTATTTGTCTGAATTGACTGTAGAATTTCAGCAAGATATATTTTTTGTCATAAATATTTTCAGCTACCAAGGAATTATATTGATTCCAAAACAACTTTTTTTCCATCGAAAACAAAACATGCTTGGAAAACGATAATTTCAAAAGCTTTAAATATTTGAACTTCATTCTTCCTATCAATATACAAGGTGCAATTCAAAAGTTCCAGGACTTTTATTAAAAAACGAAAACTATTTTTTTTTTTTTTTTTTTTTTTTTGAAAAATTTATTGGTCGCCCAAATGTTCGGTCAAAATGCGATAAATCGATGTTTTGGAGATGTTCAATTCCATTTCCATCAATTTCAATGATGATTTCGGCTGATTTTTGATGAATTCACGCACAGTTCCGATGGAATTTTCGGTGATCACGTATTTTGATGTATGTTGATCGTCATTTATGTCCTCACGACCACGTTGAAAACGTTTAAACCACTCGTGAAGACGGCTACGGGATAGACAATCATCGCCATAAACTTGTTTCATCATTTGATGAGTTTCGGTAAAAGTTTTACCAAGTTTAAAACAAAACTTAATGTTGGCTCTTTGTTCGATGTTCATTTTCCAACACTACAAATGTAATGTCACATTTAGCGCGATATACCAGCTGTTATACAAATCAGCTGTTATATAAATTCCATACGAAAACACTGAAGAATACACAGGAGCCGCGCTATTTAAAAAGTCCTGGAATTGCACCTTGTCGTGTGTAATTTTTTAACTGCATGGAATTGAATTTTAATACATATAATGTTTAAGTCGGAATATTACTTAATGATTAATTAATTTCTTAAATATTTAATTTTCTGTAATTATTTAAAACAAATACAAGTATGCGAAACTATTTAATGACAGCAGACCTTTTTTTTTAATTTAAAAAAACAATAAAATGTTTGGAAATAATTCTTAATCATCCAAACAGAGCTAGCTTTGAATAAAATGAATCAATTCAATTAAATAACTTCACAATCAGATTCACCAAACTAATTTCCTTTAGTATCGCAATACGGTATCTTCTGATTTGTGATTTGAATTCAAAAAGCCAGCACCAGTGTTGACAAACTGAATAAATTGTTGCCCAGCAACGAGCAGACACAACATAACAATATAAAATTATAATAACTATAACAATTGCCTTTCTTCAAAATGATGAGTTTGATGTATTCTTTAAATAAAGTGGAGCAGCCAGAAAATTTGTTTTGGGAGGATAAGGAAGTGAAATTCGATAGGCCGCAGCTGTAAGTTGGGATTATAAAAGTGAGGGTATGCTAAATGCCTATAAATTCAAGTGGTTACAAGTGGATTGCATTTATAGTTGGTAATGCTAACTAAAATATGTAGGTATTCCTATGTATTTCCAGTTTTTCATACATAAATATCTAGGTGATAGATGTTTGGCAGTTTGGACTCCTCTTGCCAAATCAATATTCTTCTAAATAATGGTTTGTTTTTTAAACATATCTTTAAAATTTGCTCTTTAGAAATTCGACAGATTGGAAAACAAGTGAACATTTTTCCTATGAACTGAACGTAGAAGCGAGTTCTAAAGCAACTCCACATAACTTTTTGATTTCGTAATTTGTGATTTAATTTACTAAATTTTTCAGTCACACACGCCTGCGCAACGGTGAGAAAATATTGGATACCATACTACACATTGAGGATAGCAAGGGGAATCCGGGCGATACTGGACGCTTGCTGGTGACTAATTTGCGCCTCATTTGGCACTCGTTGGTCCACAAAAAGTTCAATTTGTGTAAGAACCGTCAGGTCGGCATATCAGTATCTGTTGTTTTAACATCCATGCCATGTTTCTGAAGCTATAGGATATGCTCGCATTGGCAATACCAGTACTCGAATGGTTCACTCGAAGGTTCGGGGCACTAATCAGGCACTCTACATTCTGGCCATCAGCAATGAGACACGATTCGAGTTTCTATTTACGGATGTTTCGGGAGAGACGGCGCGCAGGGAGTTACCCATTTTTGCCAGCGTCTTCGATGTATATCAGTGAGTGCCAAATAGATTTACTTTTAGAAGCAAGAAAGAATTTTAGTTGGGGTGTAGATTAACTTGAACATAGTTCTCTCCCCACCTAGACTCTATCAACGCACATATCTGTATCGGGACCTCAAGCTTCGCGGCGCCATCCTGCAGGCGGGCCAATTGATTATAATGCCGGATGAGCAGGTGTATAGCAATGTGCAGGGTGTTTGGAACTTATCCAGCGATCAGGGAAACTTGGGCAGCTTTGTGGTGACGAACATACGATTGGTTTGGTATGCAGATGCGAACGAAACCTTTAACATAAGTCTGCCGTATCTACAAATCGACAGCGTAAGTTCCGTAAAATTAAATAAATTGGTTTACAAAAAGTTCCGTTTTCGTAGCTACGTATACGTGAGTCGAAATATGGACCCGCTCTGGTGATTCAAACGGCAGAGACAGGCGGTGGCTATGTCCTGGGCTTTCGCATAGATCCCGCCGAGCGTTTGTCGGAGCTTTTTAAGGAACTGTGTTCGTTGCATAGCATCTATACGGAACAGCCAAATTTTGGAGTACACTACGATACGGTGGATGCCCAACAACGTCTGGCAGAAGCGGCTGAGGCGGCAGAGCAGGCAGCACAGTTCAAGATTGAAAACTTTCAGGAATTAGATGAGCGACAGGAGCGGGAAATAAACACAAAACTCAACACCTATTTGGCTGAGGGTTGTCTAAATCCGGGACCAGAACAGCCAACACGTGAGCCGATTTATTGCAAGGAGCTGGGCTTTGCCATGGAACGCATACGCGATGGCTATAAGCTCAAGGATCTATGGGATGTGTTGCCAACTAATATGGAGACGGTCGAATAATGAATTATTCGAATATGTAAAATTATACCAAAATATTTAGAATCGGCTCTTGGGATAATATTGAGGAGGCTCAGGTCAGAATTCTTGATGACTTCTTTACTGCCTCGATTTCTTTTAGGCCGGAATAAATGCTTTAAGTGTAGAATTTTTATTGTTATATATTTTGGAAAACAAAATGTTTTGAATTCAATTCATAAAACTCTGAAAATTGATTGTAAAATGCATTTTTTTTCTTACGAGGATGTGAATTGTTTCTGTTTTTAAAATGAAAATAAATGCTCACTATAAAAAGATGGATTTTTAAATAATCCGAATAGCTAGGCGTTTCAATGAGAAATCACTAAAGGTTTACCTATCTGGTAGGGCTTTATTTCCCTTTAAACATATTAGAATATCACATCCAGATAGCGATTCTTTAAACGCTATATTTAGAATTCTAATTGGTTTCGACAAATTTGAGTGCAAAATAGTTTCATCTAAATCGGCCGTAAACTATAGAAATTATTACCCATTGAGAAACTATAAAAACACCCAAAAATATCAAATTCAACTCAACTTTTCGGGTACAACAGGATATAGAAACATTTCTGCCTCATTTAAAAATACATGTTATTGACATTTTTGTTTACTGATTTATTGACGCGTACAACTCGTTCTGTGTGTGTATATATATAGTATATATAAGATTTTGTTTTTAAGGTTAATTATGTTTTTATAGACTTTTGAATCGCTGCAAACTTGAAGCTTAATGCTAATACATAGTTTTGTTTTGTTGTTGTTTTATCATTTCGTTGGTATTCTTTTAATAATTATTTTGTTAGTGCTGGGGCCAACGTTTGTTTTCGTTTTTTTGTCTATATTTTTACATATTTGTCGGAAACAGCAAAGTCTTATACAATATATAATTTAAATATATCGTTTTATTTGTTTAGTTTTTGCGACTACAAGAGACGAGAAATTCTACACAAGCCAAAACTTCCACTGTGGTGTGCACACATTTGGACTGACACTGGAAAAAAAACGTTGTAAAATCGATAATGTGTTACTATTTATGTTTTTGTTTACTTCTCTTTAAAGCAAACAAATTGTTTGAATGCCTCACAAAATGCTTTTCTTTTGCTCTTTCATCTTTATAAATTAATTCATATCACAACACACAGTTGGTTTCTTTTATAATTATCGCTGCTCAGATACAGATACATATAAGTTTTTATATATATAACTACTATGTAATGTGTTCTTGTTGATCGTATTACATTAGCTTTTGTTTCACGTTGTTTCTAAGCTATAAATTCTAACAAACTTAAAGTATTAATCATTAAATTAAATTAGTTGTAGTTGTGGCGTTTTGAGTTTTGCCTCAAAGGCAGTCAAATACATAAAAAAATGTAAAATACAATTTGAAGTTATTGTTGAAATTTGTTTTCTTGTTTTGCTTTTGTACGCGAAAAATGATATAAATATAAATCGTAAGAACTATAAACAAATATCATGTAGGAATGACCTTAATTTTTAGATATTTCGTAAAATTTTTGTTTCTTTTGAATGGTTTCTTAATACTTTTTGCTTAGCTTAACAAGTTCTTGTAGTACATTATAATTTTTGTGTTTGTTTTTAAATTTTAAATTTTTTTGTCCAAATTTTGTTTTATTTGTTGTTTTCTAAATGTTTTTAATCATTTTGTTCTCTCTCGATCCTCTCTGGGGCTTCTTCTATAATATTCGTATAGTAATCTTCAGTCTTAAAGACCTAATGTGTTGCTTTCTCAAAGTTTTTAAATTAAAGCAAGTGAAGTATAAATCGGAACATGTGAACGTCCAGTCTAACAAAAACTTTGGCATTCATGTTGAAGTGTGTGTGTTTTGTAGCAGTTTTTATGTTTATAACTAAACTCAAAAATGACAAATGTTGAGGGGCGAGTAAATGAAATTTGTTTGTAAAATGAACAACACATTTGAATGATTTCTACAAACAGTTGAATGCTTTCAGCTTTTGTAGATTTTGTTGCATGAGCAAAATATTAAAGCTAAACACGTTACTTTATTTGTTTACATGAACAGATTATAAAATTGCACAGAAATGATTTTCTTTTCACACAAATTGTCAGCCTTGAGACGGCACTTCACTTGCTTCATTATGAGCGAAAAAAGTAAAATGAAACTAATTATAAAACAGAACACAATGAAGAGACAAAGAATTGAAAACTTAATTTAAACAGTAACTATAACCAAGGGCTTAAGATTAGTTTCTCTATAAATTTATATGTATATAGTACAGCGCATTGTGAGCGCGTTGCGTCAAACTGACTATGGCGAAATATGATCCATTCCGCATTTGAAGACAATCAGACGGTTAGACGACCAGAGAGAAGAAACATTAGCTCATTTAGAGATCTGTTGACGGGCACGTTGACGCGTCATGGGCGGTGAAGCGATGGCATTGCTAGCATTGCTTGCCCCCCTACGTTGCAATGTTTTGCGTTTTGGTGCTTCACTTGTTGCTGCTGCTGTTGCTGGTATTGTAGTCGCAACATTAGAGATTTTGCGTTTACTGCGCTTCGCAGTCTCCAAATTAGTCGGAGCCGCACCTTTGCGTTTTCGTGTGGCAGTGCCCGACGGCGGCGGTGGTGATGGTGAAGATGATGCTGTAGGTGGTTCCGATGTGGTTGATTTATCTCTTGCCAGTTTGCGTCGCTTTTTGGCGGTCAGTAGTGTTGCGCGTCGGCGCCGCTTGGCTGTGGCCTTTGGCTTTACTTTGCCTGAGGTGTTGCTGTTGTTGCTGGTGGTGGTTGTGGTGGTGCTGGTGCTGGGCTTGCTGGCGGCCTTTGCCGTTTTAAGATGAAGCACTCGCACAAATGCTGAGGCAGCATGCGGCAATTGTAGTGTGCTGTAACAAATACGACGGCTTGGATTAGTTTGCTTACTTTGCTAGTCTAGCAACTTACCTTGGCTTTGGTCTATGTGTCAGCTCGTCGTCTTTATTCTCCGCATTCTTCTCATCATCATCTTCGTGCTCATCACCATCATCTTCATCGTCATCACTGTCCACATTAACGGCGGGCACAAATTTGGGTCGTTTCAGTTCAAAGCCGCGTGCTTTGTTGCTGCAAATAGCCGAAGTAGTTGATTAACAACAAGCATAGAACAATGTACATTTAAATAAATTCTGCAACGAATCATTGGCAGTTTGATTCCAATTAGGTTTAAGCCTCTCAGATCAAGGAGAATGCTTGAAAGATTAAAGGATTAGTGGCTATACTTCACTCTTTAACATCGGCCTATTTCTAATCTTTAGAGCCTATCTAATCTATAGAGATATATCTAATTTAAATAGTAAAATGTGGCCCCAAAAGTGGGATATTTTAGGACAGATTACAGCTTAAGGTAGTTTGGCATTTCTAGCTCTGAAAAGTTATCTTTCTATGCTTTTTCGAATGTATCTGTTATGCATGTACTTGTAGGTCTTGTTCTTTATCATAAATACTTAAAAGATCTCTCTTGCTATCTCTAGCCCTCATAGCTCAATCCTTTTTTCAAAATATCAGCCGTAAGAGTGGGGACTTACATTTTAATTGGCGTTATGGGCATGGGTCTAATTGGCTTAAATAGACACAAATCCATGAGTAAACTATCAGTGCTGGGGTTACGCTTTCTGGCCGTTGCCGAGCGATGTAGCTGGGTGGGCGGCAGGGCGTAATGTTTTAGGAATGTGGCCGTAGGCAGAACGTAGGACATATAATTAGGGAGATTGCTAGAGCTGGCCTTGCTAGTAATATTGTTCTTGCTGCTGATGTTGCCGCTGCCAGAGCTGGTAGTTATGTGGCTACTGGAGGTGGCGTTGTTTTTGCTGCTGCTGGAGCTGCTGTTGCTGCTACTGTTGCTGCTGATGCCACTGTTGTAGCCCATAAGGCCGCCAGTGCCGCTTAGTTTCGGTTTCAAGTGCGTCGATGACGTTTTCAATTGGTTGCCAATTTGTGGAAGCAACAATTGCTGTTGCCTAAGCTGCGACTTGGCGTTGTTGTTGTTGCTAATGAGCGTGTTATTTGCTTGTTGATTGGCTGTGGACACTACCAGCGCCTTTTGCATGGTGTCCTTAATGAATTCCGTGCCACGATGCAGACGCACAGAGAGTGTCTTCATCAATGTGGTCGCAATGCTAGTGGTGGGTCTGGTTGTGGATGTGGTTGTTGTGCTCGCTGCTGTGACCGTGACCTTGGGTGTGCTGCCTGTGCCGCCGCCAGTTGTTGCGTTAATTTTCCGTGCACCTCCAGCATTGGATGTGGCTCCAACACCACTACCTCCTCCTCCTCCCGCACCAACGCCACCACCACCGCCACCACTGCTGCTGCTGCTTGTGCCATGCAAATTGTGTGTGTAGGGCGCTGCTTGCCCTGCTGCTGCAAGCAACATTATTGTGGCAAACAACTAATGCAGCCGCCTACCCTCCTCCTCCTCCTGCTGCTGCTGCTGCTGCTTCTGTTTCCCTTTCCCTTTGAGCCTTCGCTGTCGTCTGTCGTCGTCTGCCGTCAGCTGCTGCTGTTTCTCTGTTTCCACCACTAACATGCCCGGCCCGGCGTTTCGTCGCAGACGCACACACACACACTCACGTGTACACAATTATTTATGCAATTCCAAATGCATTGCTTTGTTTATTGAATGGCACAAACTTTTCAATATTTCTAATTAAACCACTTTTTTTTATTGTCTGTCCTCGTATTTTTAACTCGTCTGCTTTGCTCAATTTCAGTCGCCCTTTGCGGCTCACACGCTCATTCGTACTACTACACTACTACACACATTTTCTCAACACACTCCTACTACAATATTGCCTTTGCCTTTACGTTCGCCTTCTGCGTTTGCGTTTTCATTGTGGAGTGCGAGTGCGTGGTGCGCATTTACCGGTTTTAATTAGCTACACTTATTCTAATTTAATGAACACTTGTCCAGTTTTGTTGGATTCTCGCATTTATTGTTTTGCTCTTGGTCTAATGTTTATTGTCTATGCGGTTGTTGGCTTGCGGCTTTTCAACAAATTTAGCACATTTTACACTACGCACGTTCATTCATCAGCAGCAGCTGAGCAATATTTATGTACCTGTTATTTTCTCACGAGTCACATCTCTATCGATGTCTGCGACGGCACATATGAAATCGATTTTCAATTCACATGCCGCGATAAATAAAAAATGGTTGCGACATTGGCTAAACACAAATGGAACTAATCGCCACCTAGCGGAAAATTTAGTAAGCTTAGCGCCAAGGTGCGGAAAATATGAAATTGAATTTAAAATCAATTTTAAGTTAACTTAACTAGATAATTAGAATGTGTTAATAATAATGAAAATAATAAAAATTAAACAGAAATTGAAAGTCAGACTTTGTAAACCATTTTTTTTTGTTAACTGTTGATTAATGTTTTACGTTTAATTCACTTACAAAAAACGTCTTCAGTGTAATTAATAGTTTTCTAAAAATATTCTTCTTGAAAACGGGCTTCGCCTAATAATTGAAGAGCCATTAAAACAGTAGTAATAGTAGTTTGATGTGCAGTCCAGTCCATAAAGTACAAGTATATTGAAATAAAATACACTCGGTACGCGGCTACTGTGTGCAGCCGTAGGACTCGTAACATCCGAAATCATAGATAGCAGCACATCAAGATCAAGTTTATTATGGCAAAATAATTGCTAAAGCGCGCTGTGCGATGAGCATGCGGTGCAGAATTTACGATCCCAAATGGCTCCGAAAAGAGGAATATGATGGCAACAACCACAGCAGTTTGCGGCGGCGGCGCATGCGCAACCACAGCCCATCGGCTAGAGACAGCCAGGGAATCAGAGGCAGAGGCAGAGTCAGAGTCAGAGCCACAACCGCACGCTTTTTGCCACCCCCTAGGGGATCTGTTGGCTTCGACCGCTCGCTGTCGCCGCTGTGACAGAAGTGTTTTTTGGCATGTCAAATGGCCGTTGTGGCTGCGCACGCTTTTGTTGCTCAGCCGCCTACTGGCTGCTGCCTCCAACCTCCTCCCCGCTCCGATCACCTATCCAACCGTCTTTAATAACATTATGAAAACGCGTGTTTTACAGCTCATCAGCGGGTTGTACTCACCGTCGTTGTTGCGTTTTTTTTATTTTCCCCTTTTCTTGTTGTTGTTGCACATCGCTTGCATTTCCTCGTGCACTCTTGTCGCTTTCTATACCCTACACTCCGAGGGCGTTTTGCGTCAAGGTGTCGAATTGAATGTTCAGCTACTTTTTTTGATTTATTTATTATATTTTAATATATTTTTATGCCAACAAACAATGATGTTTAATTTTATAAAAAATGTCCTTGTTTTTCTGGTTTGCAAACCGTGTTTTTGATCATAATTTGATAAACAATTTTGGTTTTTTTAACAGTCTTCGAAGTCCGTTTCATTTTTCCAAAACCATAAAATAAAACTTGAGTTTACATTTCAGCTTCCTAACTTTTTCCACGGGAAAACTCCATTAATTCCGGCCTCAAGAAAAAATCGGGCATGCAGTTTATTTTGTAATCTTTTTGAGAATTTTGAGAAACCAAGTTTTAATTTAACGAAAAATGCAAATTCGTGCTAACATTCTGTGGTGTCCGTTCGATTTTTTAAAAACCATAAAATAAAATTAGAGTTTGCATTTCTAAATAGCTTTTTATGCTCCAATTTTTTCTTGGGAAAATATCTATAACTAAGGCTTAGAGAGAAAAACGGGAATTGCGAGAAACCAAGTTTGAAGGTAATTTAAAAGAAAATGCAAATTTTTTCAAACAAACTTTGGAAACCATTTCCTCTTCACAATTATAAAGTACAAGTATATCATATCTCTTTATTTATTTATTTTTATTATTTCTATATCTTTTTGGTGTTGGAATTTTCCAAAAATCTTGAAGGGAGTTCAATTTTAATAATACTTGTATATATGGATAATTATTGGTAATAAAAATACGAATTTTTTAGAAACTATTAAAGGAGAAAAAATAAATAAAATATAGGGATCAATGTTAAAGGGTATATCACAATTCAGCAGACTAGTTGGAATAGTTTTTCTGTTCTTTTTTTTTCTTTTGTGGTTCTGCCAGTTACAAGTCCAGTCCTCAGGTCCTCAAGTCCTCATGGCACGCCATCCTCAGCCGCAGTCGCAGCCGCAGTCGCAGTTGCAGCAACAGCCACAGTTAGAGGCTCGGTCGCTGCCCGGCTGGAGGTCGCTTGGGGGTCGTCGTCAGTGCGCCCTCCCATTGCGGCACCACGCAGCACGCGCGTCGCCTTCTGCGCAACCGCAACGTGAACAAAAGCCAGAAGCCAGTCAGCCAGTCAGGCAGTCAGCCAAGTTAGCCAGCGCGGTAGGCAGATGACTCTCAGAGCTACGTATATAATTTTCCAATATGCAAATGTGTTTGGTTTCAACAAAATGGCGCACTCTGAGTCGCACGTGGGCCGAGTCGCACAGACCAATCAAGTTGCGCCTCATTAAGGATCAGCCAAGTGCGAGACAATTATGGGCCCTGGCATTGCATGGATTTGCGAGCTAGCGAGCGAGCGAAGGACTAAACAAATTATTTGCACTAAATTAAATTTTAACTCGTGCTGGGCGCACTTTGAACGGCACACTCACACTCTCTAACCGCATTGTGGCCACAATGGGCCACCGCTTCACTCTGTGACATGTGGCATGGGGAAGGCTTTGGCATTGCCTTTGCGAGTAGAAGTGGGTATGGGCGGCCAGGCAGAGACTTTGATTTTGCAGCTGCCCAGGAGGTTCAGCCAAGGACGCGTGCTGAAACAAAAGCGCTTAAGAGCCTTTGACAAACAAGCAGAGCCTTCAAAGTTGTAGAGAAAGCAAATCAAACTTTTGGAGTCAACTGTACTCAAAGTTTTCAGCTAAGAAAGAAATAAAATTCGTTTTGCCTTTAAAGTGCTTTATAAGGAATTCAAATTCAAATTTTAATTTTTTCAAATTAAAATTTAACAAGCAGCCTTTCAAAAACACTTAAATAAAGTCGAAGAAATTTCTGGTAAATTTCTATTAATTGTGAGATCTTGTTGTGTAATGTTTGGTGGGATTGAGATTTCTGGAATCCATTTTAAAGGAGAGTTTTTCATATTATTGTAGGCAAACAAAGCAGTTGAACTTACCTTTGAATAATTCCGAAATATGCTTGAGTTAAAAGCAAAAACAAAACGAAACAGTTTCAAACAAAATCGAACTAGTGCGTGTCTTCAAAAGATGTTTTGGAGCCATCATGAGTCAAAGCTTGTTGTTGGCTAAAATTAAAGAGTTTAGGAGTGTGCATGTTTTTCCATACAACTTACCTTTTAGGAATTTTGAATGCAGATGCAGTGTCTACCATTCTATTTCTTTTCGGATTCCATACTGGGTATGTGGAAAATTAAGAGCAAAAACAAAACGAAAATTTTCCAACAAATTGGAACTAGTGTGCGACCTTTACAGATGTTATAGGCCCATAAGGAATCACAGTTCTTCCTTTGCTTGCACGCTGGAATGAAAGAGGGTTAGGAATAGGCCAGTTTTCCCATACAACTTACCTGTTAAGAATTTCTAATCAGGTCCAAGGGTCACCATTCCAACTCTTTTCGGGAAAACAAACTTTTAAGGGATCTTAAGTATCTGTTGATAAGTGAATGCTTTTAATGATCACAAAATAACTTACTAATACTTGTATTCAATTAGTTTATAACACGATGACAACGAAACAAAAAAGTTCTTCTTCCTTACAAGAGGCCAAGTAGAACGATATTTGGATTATCGTGAGTCATCAGACGAGTCACTGGCCCATTTATATCGAGAGCGTAATCGCAATCATCAAGTTGTGGTGAATCCCCACGCTTGGCCACTTTGAATGCGTCCTTTGGCTTCTTAATGCCAGTCTGCTTTCCATTCTTGACTGGTTTCACGGTTGCAGGCATTTTATTTTATAGTTTTTCAAAAGTTTTTAACAACATTTATTTTTTATTTTTAAAGATTTTGAGTTTCTGATATATACAAATTTTTGTTATATAATGTATAGCCTATTTGGTAGAATTTCAGGGATCCTAATTATTTTCAGACAGTAAATAAACATTTGATAAAAAATGAAAAAACTAAGATATTTAAAATAACAAATATGACTTATTTGTCAATACAGTTTACTAATTTTAAGTTATAATTTAAACTTTAACAAAATAAAGGAGCCGCAATAATAACTATACAGTAATGCCTATTAATGCCTCCGACACGTTGGGGGAGTTTTTCTTGCCATTTGGCCAGCTATGCCCCGATTCACAGCCATACAAGAACATTATAGACCTAATAGGCTAAACAAAAATAGTAAGTAGAAAAGGAAAAGTAATTCTACTTAACAGCTAATTAAGCATAAAGAGAAAGCGTAAAAGGAGTAAAAGGGAAATCTCCAACCCGGTGGGGGAAAATTTGAAAGTTATGCCCCGATTCACAGCCATATGTTGTCAGAGACATTATAGACCTACACCACTAAAAAAATAGATAGTAGAGGAGAAAAATTAATGTTACTTAGGAGCTAGCTAGTTGAAG